TTCCACTGGCCGCCTGTCACTTCTGACACCCTCCACCCCCTTGTCCGAAATTTTTCTTCTGCGTATTCAAAGTTACTCTTGGCCTTGTTCGAAGTTACGTGACACTTGCTATACTTTATTTTTATGTTTGAGTGTCTACCCAATTGCATGGATCATGAAAACTAGGAATGGCATAGGGTTCGTTTTCATATAAAAATATAAACAAATGAGATTTTGCAAAGCGGTGTAGGGGGAGGGTAGTGTAAACAGCAACTAACTAGTAACTCCAAGGAGAACCCGTCTTAAGAATCAGATAGTCGCTCACTTAGAAAAATTTCCTCTTACAGAACCAAGGTTTATTGCTACTTTCACCACAGCCTGCTATAGCCCCATGATTCAGTTCGCATCCTTACACCTTAAAAATTAAGTAAAAGTAAAGGTATCCCTGTAACAGGCTGTGGAGGCCCATAGGGTTGTGAGACGTTGAGGTTCCCACATTTTCTAGACAGTCGGCTCGTACGTGGCGGCAAGGTTGTGAGCCCTACCCGCTGGCCACCCTTTACCCCCAAGAATATTCCAATAATATTCCTGGTACTCATTTCTGTTAGAGGCTGAGTTGACCCCAGGGCCGTAGTGCAGCTGGGAGTATTAGGTCTTTCCATATAATGCCTGTGTCTTGCATTTCTGTTTCTTGATATTTCCTGACCAAAGTGTTGTATGGGTTTCTTGTTTCCTCCCATGCAAACCTGCATGCCCTGGCCAGCAAGCCCTCTTTGATTTAATTGTTGTACCAGTGTCAGATTAATATAATTTATGAAACTCCTTGTCATGTAATTTCCTCTGTTTTGCTATTATTTCCTCATAGATCCTGTTCTCAACACTTATTCTCAAGCGCCTGGTTCATTGCCATCTACCACCACTTTTCAGAATTACTTACTACTTGCAATTGTTGTGGTGTTGTTTATTGTGTGACTGCATATTTATAATTTTCCAACTGACCATGCCAGTTTCCATCTGTGGGTCAATGATGACCAACTTGTGACTAACGAGACTTACAGTGCAGCCTGAGATTGATTTTTTTAACAAAAAGCTAAAAATTTTTATTTTAAAATAATATTCCCAAAATATTTTAAAATATAGGTCTACCTGCTATTAAAATTTAAAAAGAATACACTCAGAACTCAAAATTACTATCATATAAACTGGAGCAGATATTTTGTTGGCAGGTGTTCAAAGAATTTAATATTTCATTATTGCCCTAAGATCAGGTTGTCCAGTAGTGTTTACCTTAACATTGGTGTAAACAGTTGCTCATAATTTAGTATGTGTGATCTTTATGTTCTCACCTGCTAGGAATGTGTTTCTTTTCTGGCTTTGAGTAAGATTGTTAAGATGTTTGTTTCCAGGCACTTTACAGTTTTGAAATGCCATGATGTTGGTTTAAAGTAGGTTTTACATTTGTGACTAGTGTTTGGAAAAGTTTAGATAGAGTTGTTGTACAGACACATTTCTCATTTGGAGCACTTTATTAGCAGATATTCTGTTTTAATCTTATCACATAGTAAAATAAAGAATACAACAGACACAACTAGAAAGAATGTTTGAAAGTGATTTAGCAGTTTAGCATGCAAAATTTATTGTTAGCAAATGTATTCCAGTTCAGTCTTGTTAGTGATGAATACAGTCCAAGTGCAGTAATGTAATGCATTGAGTCTTTTTAATAAACTGTTGTGGCCCAGTATGGCTACAGCATATATTTGACAGTTTTTTATGGTGATTAACCTTTGAAATATAAGCAAAAAGAAAAAAGTAAAGACCGTGGAGGCCCATGGGGTTGTGAGATGTTGAAATTCCCACATTTTCTAGACAGTCAGTTCATAGATGGTGGCAAGGTTGTCAGGTTTACACTCCAGACGCCCTTTACCGCCAAGAATATTCTGGTGCTCATTTCTTTTAGAGGCTGAGTCATCCCCAGCATCATAATGCTGCTGGAAGGATTAGGTAAATTGAAAAAAATCCACCTTGTCGGGATTCGATCCCGCAACTTTCCGGCTTTTAGCATAGTGCCTCAACCAACTATGATACTGCACGCCCCTTTGAAATATAAGCAACTTTTATATTATTATTTCTTTTAAATGAAAATGTAGAATTAACATGGCAGTAGTACAAAATATTTTGGTCTGTTTACAATAACTTACAAGTCATTGTAAGCTGAATATACATAATACCGCCTTGTAAAGGCATCATATGATATTGTATCATCTGAATTAAATTGAACAAGTTCTAGTGCATTTGGAAGCCTGAAATGACAATATTAAGTCATGTTAATACTTTCTGTAATGTATTTGAAGTATAACATAGAAAATGACGGAAGCTTTTTAATTTTTTATTCAGAGCTTGTCATTTTAAATTGCAGAGTACAAGTCTCCACAGTATGAGAGGCTGGGCTTTAATCTAGTGAAGGAACGGCTGGTGTCCTTGGGTTATCCACAAGAAATCCTCGAGTTTGAATATGACCCATCATTCCCGGTCAGGTTAGTAAAAGTTACGTTTTTTATAGTGGATTTAAGAAAGTGATTTCTACAAAAACTCGGGAATTATGGGTGAACAGACTGCAGTTCTTTTGATCAGTTTGGCAGCTATCATTGTAACTTGACTAAACTTCACGTCTGTTAAACAGCTGATGAGAAGCCATCTGATGGCTGTATTCTTACTCTGGAGGTCCAGGTTTAATTATACTGCTCTACATATGGAATATGTGGTGGATATAATGGCATTGTGTGGATTTAACACTGTATAGCCTACTTGCAGTTTTCCCAAGCCATTTTATATTCCACCAGTGTTTCATGTTTATCTGTCACTCTCCTTGACACAGGATATGCCTAACCATTTGGCATGTTATAGTGATGATGAATTTTGACTGGACCTCTGACAGGACCTTTTACTGGGTCCAAAATAAAGGAAGTTGCTTTCCATGTGTGTGCGTGTACATGTGTTAATGCNCTGCACCTCTGACAGGACCTTTTACTGAATGAATATTGACTGGACCTCTGACAGGACCTTTTACTGGGTCCAAAGTAAAGGAAGTTGCTTTCCATGTGTGTGCGTGTACATGTGTTAATGCCACATCCCCTGCTTGATTAAGCGTTGCACCATGAAGACATGTGGAGGAGTGGAGGAAGAGCTGTTTGCATTCTTCACTTGTCTGGTCAGTTTCATGTCCCAGCCACTTTACTGCTGGGGTAAGAGCACTGGTATCAACTGAATTGTTGGCTGAGTAGGTCCCATGGCTGGAATTGGCTTCATTTTATATTTACAAATTATGTATATTTACCATTGTGTTTATTTCTTACTAGAACTGTAGTGGCGATGTCATTCAGATCAGTAGTTTCCCAGCTGTATCCCACAAAATTGTTACAATTCCCCAAAATGGCCAGTTTTAGGGAAAGCTTATCTGACACTGCATAGGCTTCTTAATATTATAAAGTGTTGGTTTTAAATGGAAATTAGTACCTTTGATCACAGAAATTTGCATTTATTTTTCAGAGGCCTGTGGTTTGACTCTCAGTATGGAACTTTACTCAAAGTTGATGCCTATGGTAATATTCTGGTTTGTGTTCATGGATTTGAGTTCCTGAAACAGTAAGTGAAATTTATGTATATTTAATTGAACAGGCATTATAAGAAGAATTTGACATTGGTATATTTTTTTATGAGTTCATACCTCAGATTTCATCACACACTACATGGAAGAATAAGTTGGTTCTTCATAGAGATGAAATAGCATCATTTGTGTATTAAGTAATTTATTTTTAAGACAAACTTAAACAGTCCTTTCCTTTTTAGGCATGTTTTCACCCCTACATCATGGAGGAACAAATTCATTATTGAAAATTCCTTTGATATAAGAGGAAATCACTTGTCATTTTTTTGACCTTTCACTGTGAGATTCACGGTTCTCTTGATCTAGGAGACTGGACTTTCCTATTGCATGCTTTTAGGTTTTATTTCTCAGTTGTAAGGAAGAATTGTTATTTTACAAATAATTGGATTGTTTCAGTTGTCTTACTGAAAGGTTTGAGAAAATTACTTTTCCCACTTTTTAACTAGGGTGCTTAGATTTCTTTAATACATACTGGCACAAACTTTATATTCGTGTTCAGGTTTGGTCAAACTCAGGTTCACAATTTGATTACTGATGTTCAGATTTATATCTGTCTGCTTTCTTTTAAACAGCTGTTTGATGATTTTTTTAATGTCAGTCTGATGGCTGGATATTTTCTTGTTTGTAATGTTGTACCTTTCATTGTATACAGAAAAACATGTCTTGTATTCTGTGGTCCCTCTTCATAAAATGCTTCATAAAACATCTGTAAATATCAGTGGTATTTTTCTCCTCTTGTGACAAAAGTGTAATGTTATTTCTGTGTTCTAACAATTTATCACCCATGCTTTTGACAAATCATACACTGTACGGGTGTTTTATTCAGCCATACGCATACCAGAAGGCAGTTGATGGACACCAGTAAACTTGTCAGAAGTCAAGTGGTGCACAGCTTTAGAATGGGTGCTGCACTGCACTTCACAGATAAAACCTATATTGCATCCACAAAACAGAATCCCAGTGGCTGTTTACATGAAGTTGCTGAATCATGTAGCTGTATATTGTAACACATGCTAATTGATGTTCTTGTGTACTAATCATATGTTATATAATGATATGTTGCATATAAATATATCTGAATAGTAGCTGCAGTTGTGGCTCATGGTTATCTGAACAGGTACGGTCAAGACAAAATAAAATTTAACTTCCTCTCCATGCCTATGATTGTGGTAAGAGAAGAAAAATAACGGTTTTATTTAAATGTTCACATTTTAAGAGTTACCCCATTTGTTAGTAACTGTAGGCCCATTTTATATTGACAAGAACATTTTAAGCAACAGGGCTGCACTCCCTTGACCTTACTCCTCCGGGTAGAAATAGAATGCCCCATTTGTTCAGGAAGGGGTTGGACCCTGCTAAGCTCATCTGTGACTTCTAATGCCCATGTGTCAATCATACAGACAGATGGACAAACCAATGCTTATATATTGTAGATATTTCACTGGGGATTTGTATGAACATAGAAGTGTACTGCTTCAATCATTTTCTGGGTTGGGCCTAATACATTCCTCATGTGTTTCTTTGAGGCTCTTCATAATCATAGCAACAAAGATTCATGTGACACTGAGTAACCTTGAAATTATTTTTAAATTCATGTCACACATTTTCTTATTGTCTTTGTACATTCTCATTGACTTTGTTTCAGGCACGGTGGCTGTTCAGTGCCATCACAAAAATCATGTTATTTTCTGCTGCTATAATATCAGCTTTTCAATTATTGCTAATTGTCCATGTATAACATTTACTTTGCGGTCTCTTATAAATGTTCAGCCTATGCATATTACAGGCATACACATATGCATGCGCACATGCAAGAGGAGCTCATAATTGTATTTAATCTCAAGGACACAGTAGACCTAAAATGTTAACTCGCGCTGCTCTTAGTGTAGCTGAGTGCCTGTAGTGGATGGGAGAATAATGGAGAATGGGAAAACATGAATAGACACAAAATTCTACAAAGACCTGATATAGGACCATGATTTGATAGCCAAGAAACAGATTAGTAAGGGGAAGGCATGACATTTATCAGTCCCTATAAGCAAGTGACAGGAGCTGGGATAGTGTGGTAGGTAGAGTGACTGGCTACAGGCTGGACAGCTGAGGAGTCACAGTTCGAGTCCCAGTAAGGGCAAGAATTCTTTCCTCTCCATGTGAACCAGACCGGTTTTGGGGCCACTCAGTCGCCTATCAATTGGATACTGAGGGCTATTTCCCTGGGGCTAATGTGTCTGGGGAATGAAGCTGACCACTCACCTCCAACTCATGCCAAAATCAAGAATATATGGATCTATACCTTCGCTCCCCTGTACATCTTTATGGCATAGTGCTTAGTTAAGCACAGCAACAACTATATAAGCAAATAACAGGCAATTTCTTGGAAAAGTGAGCTAAGGCTATGACCTGTGCAAGAGGGCCTTGCTTGCACTTCTTGCAACGTAAGCAACTTCCCTGTGAATTTATAAAACATTTTTACATCATACGGAATATAAACAGAAATAACTTTGTCAAAGTACTCTGTCATACTAAATGCAAACAAATTAGAAATTCATCAAACTATTTTTTATGCGCTGATGCATCCAATATTGGTGTGGCCCAACCTCACCCGCCATTAGGGACAGGCTCCCCCTGAGTAGTGACATGAAAACATATAAGGTCTAGTCTTTGAGAACTAAATGCACCATGTCAACATGAGTTGATTGTGGGAGCTCAGATTCCCATAACATTATTAAACCTAAATCTATATATAAATATATTACTAGATACAAACAAATAAGGTAAGAATTAGAGGGGATGCTGTTATGAAGCTGGTAGTGCACTGCTAGATAACTAAAACTGGAAAAATGTAAAGAAAGAGTTCTTTCTTGTCTTCAATTAATGAAATCTCTAATGTTTTTCTTGAAATGACTGGTATGTATTGTCTATTTTGTATGAGGGTAACTTTTACCTTTACTCTGTATGAGGGAGAGTCAGTAAATAGGTCACAAATGGATATAAAATGTAAAATATGTGATATGCGAACCTGGAAGAAAAACATTTATTTCTCAGCATATCCTCCACCAACACTTGTTGGGACACTTGTCCCATTACGTTACCAGGGCATCAAAACCCACAGCATAGAAGTCTTTTGATTCTTCTACACCTCCATTTCAACATCTTCATCAGTGAAACATTTTGTACTGAGGTGTTTTTTTTTAGCTGACTGAACAGATGGAAGTCACTAGGGTCAAGTTCGAGCTGTAAGGCTGATGTTGAAGAAGCCCCCATTGTAGTTCTTGAATTCTCTCCTGGGTTACTCAGGCTGTGAGGGGTCTGGCATTGTCATGATGAAACAGTACTCCTCTTGCCAGTTAGCCTGAACATTTTCTGTGAATCGCAACCCGAAGCTTCAACAGAACTTCACGGTATGATGCAGAGTTCACATTTTCACAGTGCTTCTGAAAATGGGCTAACAGTACTCCCAGAGAATTCTGAAACACGGTAAGCATAACCTTTCTCATTTGATGGTATAATCTTATACTTTCTGGTTGAAGGTGATCGGGGTTTTTTTCCATTCCATTGAACCACGCTTTGATCTATGTTGGTAGTGATGCACCCATGATTTGTCCCCAGTAACAGACTTGTTATGCATAATCTTCTCCATCTGCATACTGTAAGAGATGTTGCAAGACACATTCAGTTCATTTTTTCTCAATCCTTCAATTCCCTGGGTACCCACCATGTGCACTCTTTCCAAAACTTCAAATGATCATGCATTATGCTGTATGGTAAACCATGGGAACACCCTAGTGCAGTTGCTACACAGTCTATCATTATCTTCCTGTCAGCTTGAATCAATTTTTTTACCTGCTGCACAGTTGCTTCTGTCATAGTCTCAACTGGGCGACCTGGTCAGGCATGATATATGACTTTCGAACAGCCTTGAGAGAATTTCTTGACCCAGTTGTGAATCACTTTATGCAACAGACACTTCTCACTGTAAACAAGAAACATTTGTCTTTGAATATCCTTTGCATTCACTCATCAAGCACAGTCACCATTTTGACTACTGAAACCAATCTCTGATCATGCACATGCACTTCTGCTACCTAGACTGTCATGAAACTGGACTTTGCTGCTACCTAGTGATACACACAGAAAACCTATTAAATCCATTACAGCTGTTTTACTTCTGTTTGTGACCTCTTTACTGGCTCTCATTGTACACTACAACACTGTAGCTTTTTATGTGCCAGGCTGGGAAAGTGATAGATTCACTGCTTGGCTAAGATCACAAAACTTTCCTTTCACTCATACATCATGGTAAATGGAGTGGGAATATGGTTCTGGTAGTTCTTCTTGGTCATGTGTTTGCACTTCTGTATGACCTGACTTCTCAACCAGGATTTGCCACTGATGAATACTGTGTTAATTTGCAAAATGAAAGTTCAGAACATGTATATGGTAACTCAGATATGCCTTGTCCAGTAAATTTGAGGCCAATATTCTGTGGTGTAAATTAAATTTGTTACGTCATTTTCAGTTCGCAAGTATATGAATTGTACCCTAACAAGTTCCAGCAGTTGGATGAATCCCGAGTGTACGTTCTCAATACATTATTCAACTTGCCTGAGACCTATATGCTAGCATGTCTCATAGACTTTTTCACAAACTCACCGCAATACACCAGGTTAGTATCAGTCATTACTTTAATCCTGCAATGAAGAGAAGGTGAGCAATTAATCATGATCTGCCTGGCGTACATTTACTGTGTAAGCCGAAATCCTGGCGTACATTTACTGTGTAAGCCGAAATCATTGGCATGCTTGTTGGGTAGCCTTGCCATTGCACTTTGTACACCGAAGCATAATGTATACAAAAATGAAAAATAGAATGTCAGAATCAGACATTTATACATGCCATTGTCCAGGCCTTCTCTTCTTTGAAAGGTAATATGTGTCTTACGAAAGCAGTATTGAATCTTGATGAACATCAATTAATACTGTGCTAGGAATGTAGCAGGGGTCCCACAGAAATATTGGGTCTTCCTGCTGTATTTATTTATCTTTAAAAAGTCAGGTCACTTCACTTCACTTTCTTGTTGACAGAACAGCTGTTTTGTTGTATCACTGTTAACGCTATGGTGCATTTGAAATTGTAACTTGCATTTTACATTACATTCCTCTTTTTTTTTTTTTTTTTTTTTCAGGGAAAAGACTGGGGGGAAAGGGGGGGAATTGTTTATGTCCTTCAAGTCTATCTTTCAGGATGTTCGTAATGCAGTCGATTGGGTGCACATACAGGTACTGCAGTAGTTTGCTTATTGGTAGTAAAGTAGTTATTCCCTTGTATTTTGTAAACTTGAAATGAATGTCTTTAAGAGGAACTATAGAATTCTCAAATCTCTTAAAATTGAAACTATAGCTCTAGAAGTTTTCACACAGTGTCAATGTATAGTGTCTATAAATATGATTAATCTATGAATATTTTATGAATTATATGCTCTCTTTGCAAGATGTGCATGAAATAACATGCATCAGGCTGGTTGTGCTCATTAGCATGTTTCAATTCTAAAACCACTGGATGGATTTTCATGAGGTTTGGTATTGGCCTTATGCCATTGGACGATACTGCACACTCACCTTTAATACTCAGGACAGTAGTCTCATGGCTGGTTACCAGTGTTTCAGAGGAAGTAACTGCCTTCATTTTCTTCCTTGAAGATGGAGGCAGCAGGTCCCTGTGGGACTACATGGTGTCATGGCCCAAAAGACAACAGTCTTAGTTTTCACTCCTTCAGAAACCTTAAATCTCATGTTCATACAACAAATTTGGAAATATAAAATATATGTGTAGTGTCAAATGAGAGGTAGTTTGGAGTTTAAATGGAAAGAAAGCAGTCACAGCTTATTTTAAGGCACTCTTCTGGCCACTGTCTACAGTAGAAAACCATAAGAAATCTAGTCAGGATATTTAATCTATCAGCTTAGATTCAGACTATAGGAGTTCAGATTGCTGTTATGACATTCAGTACTTATGTCTCATCTTTTATTTCATGTGAGCACAGTAGCTGATTTTACATCAAGTGACCTTTGTTGTTATGCTATTGCAGAATGTGTTACAGTTTTGATATACAGAGGGGTCCAAAAAATGTACTCACTCTTTGATAGTCACTATCTTTGGAACAAAATGAAATGTAGTTGCAATTCTTGCACACAGAAAGAGAGAGAGAGAGAGATTCATTGTATGTGTTCGAAGTGACCACCATCAGCGGCTAAACAGCGTCAATACCGCCGAACTGTTGAGCAAACTACGGCTGTCTTGGCTGCACACAATGCTTCGATGGTTTCTCGTAGCACATTCAGTGTATCTTGCTTTTGTCGATAAACTTCATTCTTCGAGATTCCCCATAGGTAGAAGTCAAGAGGTGTTAGGTCTGGAGACCAAGGTGGGTACTCAGTAGCACCTCTTCAACCTATCCATCGTCCAGGTAGAGTGTCATCCAAATATCCCCAACATCTTGATGGTAGTGAGGTGGAGCACCATCTTGTAGGTAAAATCTCTCATCTCCAAACAGCTCTCGAATGGCAGGGAAAATCGATGTCTGAAGCATATCAAGATACACCACAGCACTGGAAGCTGGACTTGTTACTATTCATGGTCGCCCAGATCTTTGCTTATGCACATCATGAACAGTACCGTCGGCTTCAAATTTATCCCGAATACGGGCAATTGTTCAATGTGCTGGTGGCTGAGTTCCAAAGTCATTCTGCCATTGTCGTTGTACCTCTTTAATGTTTTCGTACTTCCAGTACCACTTCAATACAGCCCTGCATTGCTCAAAGAACAACCTTTCAGCCATTGTTGCTGCTATCTTCTGCTCACAGCGCACAAGCGCCACGACACTCACGTGACTTTCGCCATCTGTTGAGAAAACATTACACTAAACTACCATGCAAGAATTGTAACTACATGTCATTTTGTTCCAAAGATATTAACTATCAAAGAGTGAGTACATTTTTTGGACCCCCTTGTATGTGTGTGGCCCAGTTCTGGACAGAAGAACTTCCAAGTGAAATGTTTTGAAAGTACTATTATGATATATTTTTTGATGTGTAAGAACTGAAGCTGTGTGATGTCTTTGCTCTGATAAATAATTATCCCTAGCTACATTGACTAATAATAATATTATCTGAACCCACAATAAATAGAACAGTGCAGAAATACAGGATGACTTTTCAGAATAAGAACTTGAAATATATCTTGGCATTAAGAGGCAGCAGTGAATGAATTATTCTTTCTTAACACTTCGCAGACCGACAATTTAAATATTTAAATCACCCTGAGGACCGGCATTTCTAAGCATACTACTCTAACTTGTGCACTGTTCACTTTAAAAATTAATATAAAATCTAATTAATTTTTTGAACTAAAATTTTTGGAGAACACTTACCTGTGCTCCTAGAAGTGCTTGAGGGTTTGATATTTCTGGAAACATTCCCCTTTGTGAAGTGGCATTACACAGAACTTGCAAATGCAGACATACTCCTTTTTTTTGTAAACTGTGCAAACACGGTATTGCCTAGAAGGATTCTTCCCCTTGGAATGTTCATTCTTCACAGTTTTCACGAGGGTATTTTTCCACATATCACTCGAGATTCGCCCTGGGGGCCCCACATGAGGCCTTCGTGGTGTGGGTGTTGATGGGCCTTGTCGTACTAAGGCTTTGTGTGACCCTGGTTCAGCCGCCACCATCTGGACTGTAGCCCAGGCCTTTGCCACATTCATCAGAAATGCTTTGTATTTCAATTTTGAATTAGGGTTTAGATTTTTTTTAGATTTTTTGCTGTCCCCGCAATGTTACTATGCGCAATGTTATTACCCACATTATTGTCGGAGCTACTGTCACTTTTACTCTCTGTGGCCACAATTCTTTGTTGTCCCCCATCACTGTCGCTGTTTGAATGGTAATTAATCCATTACTACACGTCTCACAAGGTAGGTCACCTAGGTCATCGGAGGAGAATTTGCCCTTGATCCATTCTCCCCACTAGCTACTGGCTGATAGACACAGCTTGAAGAAGGCAAAGAATTTTCTAGTATAGTTGGTTAAGTAAACAGCGAGGTTAAGTTACTGACTGCTAGCTAAACATTCCAGAGTCTTATCACACATCTGCTAGCGGTTGCGTGCAATGTAGTTGGCGCCAGAGCGATGTATAGTGTGTTGCAACTTATCATGTTCTAAAAACGTATTATTACGCGACTGGTCTGCCACGTTTAAAAGCGAAAAACATATTAATGCAGGCGCGGTCCGCAAAGTGTTAAATTTCTTAACATTTGCAGCAGAACTAGTCTCATGTTAATTGTAAGAATTTTCCTTTTCTCAGGGAGATCTAAAATCTCAGACTATAAAGAACTTGGATGAGTATGTGAAGAAAGATGAAAGATTACCAATGTTTCTAACAAGAATCAGAGAGAGTGGAGCTAAGGTGTTCCTACTTACCAACAGTGATTACCGCTTCACTGATGAGATAATGACATACTTGTTTGACTTCCCACATGGTGCTAGGGTATGTACTGCACTACATTTAGTTGAAACTTGATTAGTTCTGTAATGATAGACCTTAGCTGACACTAAAAGAGAAAGCATGCTAATGTTAGTATCCTAACAAAATTCATCCACTAAGACTCTTTACAACTGAAATATTGATTTCAGTTCTTTGTTCTCCCAAGTTTAATGTGAGAAGTAAAGCTGCTACTATTGAAATTGGTGGATGATAAACTTTTTTTTTCTTGTTATTTTAATCAAAGTGCTAAACCCTTTGAGGTTTATATATATAGTACTAGTGCTATATAGTACTATAGTACTTTTAGGCTTTTCAGATGCCCATTCAACATTGCACTGTAGGTTCACTTATTTGAATGTACAACATACTATCAGATACAGCTTCATTTAATTTTATATGAATTTTAAATTATCAGGTTCAGTGTGTCATTGGACCAGAGTAATATTTCCAAAATGATGCACTGAATAGAGGACCTTAAAGGGTTAATACGATAACAGTCAGACTTGTTGAATAGGCTTGTTTATATTTATTTTTGGTTTTAGTTTCAGTTCTTAACATATTCCTGCACTGACAAATTTTAATTGCTGCAGTAGTAGTGTTTACCAATTCTTTTACCTTTTTGAAGTGCTGACTATAAGTAAGTTTTATTTACTTGGAAATATTGACAATACTAATGTTTTGAAAGAAACTGAATTAATAAAATGTAGAACAGAATAAATACGAGGGTCATACTGAAAGTCATGAGCAACAATTTTTTGTAAAGTAACATGCTTTATTATTGACAAACCAAATACACCACCTCAGCCTACAGACCTTTCTTTATTTTTCCACATAATTTCCACTCCTTTGTACACATTTCTCCCAGCGTTCTGGGAGTTTGAAAATTCCCCCTCTATAAAATTTCTTTCCAGCCATCCAAAGACACTGACGCACTGCTTTCTGAATTGCCTCCCTTGTCTCAAAACGTTGTCCACACAGCTGATCCTTCACAAATCCGAAAAAATGGTAGTCAGAGGGTTCCAGATCAGGGCTATAGGAGGGGTGTGAAAGAACTGCCTACCCCATCTTTGCAATTGCTTCCAATGTGAGGTGAGTGGTGTGGGGGTGAGCGTTGTCATGCAGGATGATGTTTCGTCCCGGATGTTTATCGCGCAATGCATGATGGAGCTTGTGCAGCATCTGGACATAACAAGCAGCATTGATGGTTTGCCCGGGTTCCAGGAATTCAGCCAGAATAATCCTCTCTGCTCCCCAGAAGACTGTGCCCATCACCTTCGCAGTTGATGGCACTGTCTTTGCCTTCTTTTTTGATGGAGAATGCAAATGGTGCCATTCCATACTCTGCCATTTCATTTCAGGCTCGAAATTGTGAAACCAGCTTTCGTCACCTGTCACAATACAGAGCAAAACATCATTGCCTTCGTGTCAATATCTCTGCAGCAGTTCTGAGGTGATGGCTTTTAGCTGACCTTTGTGGTCTTCGGTCAATAACTGCGGGACCCAACGAGCACAAATTTTCCTATAGCCCAAGCTTTCAATCATCTCCTGTACTGCACTGTGCCCTATTCCAAGTTTTGGGGCTATTGTGCCCATAGTCACACGCCTGTCATCTTGAATGATCTCATCCACTATTTCCTTGTTGCGTTCAGTTGAGGCTGTTCAAGGACAACCGCTCCGAGGCTCATCTTCGATGCTGGTGTTCCCATCTTTAAAATGTTTCACCCCTCTTTGAACACTGCTTGCACCCATGCACACACTTCCATAAGCACGCTGAAGTCTCTGGAGAATTTCTACAGCAGGGATTTCCTCATTCACAAGAAATTCGATGACAGGACACTGGCGAAACGACATATCATCGGCCATTTTGTTAGGAGTGATACTGGTCGCGTGATGCAAGCTATTGACATCACAAGACACTCAAGGTTAACACAACAGCTGGTTCCACCTACCACCATACTCTCTTTCGTCCGCTGTTCCCAGGTTGCATGCAAAAAAAGTTGCTCATGACTTTCAGTACGACCTACGTAGGTAGGGTTTGCTTGTATGGTTGAGATCCTTGCTATTTTCAGCATTCTTTGGGACGACAAGTTACTGTATTGCTAGAGGTGGGCACAAGACCCGTGCCTTCTCCAACAACAGGCTTGTATTCAAGAGGTAATAGTTTGTGACATAATGTGTGACAGATGGCTTTTCAAGCACAATCAACCCTTAGTTATTTGTTCATTCTGTGACAGTAATAATGAACATTTAGAAAATGGCAGTCTTTCACAAGCCTCTGTTTTAACATCTAAAATCAGTATACATCTCATATTGTCTAACACACTTAGTCTGTTCATTCTTCTGACAGTTTTGTTGTTGTGTTTCTGCCTACTAAAGATTTCCTGTTTTCTTTTGGTATTAATGTTTTGTCATGAAACCTGAAAAATAAAATCTGATATGTGACAGTAAAGCTATAATTTCTCCAGCTTCATGGAGCTAATGTTGAACAATTTCATTGCCGTTTAGTAATCGTATTTCATTCCTCATGGACAGGAAACAGAAATTCAGAATCTTATTTTTTGCACATCCTCCATTGTACAACTTTTCTGCTTATTTATGGTTTTTCAGAATTTCACTCAGTAATTAATGCTTGGTAGGTACCTTGTTGAACAACTACTACACTTCAAGAAAAAAATGATTCAGTGTAAGCTCTTTAATGCCATATAGCTACACCTAATGTCATTAATATGATGATTATCTTTGCATTTGTTTTAATAAGCATTTTAATATCTTAGTGGTGCTCGTATAAGTACTAACAGTAAGCAAATTTGCACATAGTATCTATTTAGTATCTTTGTTCACATTAGCGGTGAACAGTATGATTAGTTTCCCCACATGTAGTATGAAGTAAGGAATGGTATAGTGGTATATGGCTAGACTGACTATTTATGCATCTTGTGTGTACAGAATTGTATTAGTTTGAATTTACTTTCCTGCCTGCAGCCAGATGAGCCTCATCGTGACTGGAAAACATACTTCGACACAATTGTTGTAGATGCTCGGAAACCCCTGTTCTTTGGTGAGGGGACTATACTTCGTCAAGTGGACACTAGCACGGGAGCACTTAAAATAGGTACCCACATGGGCCCACTGCAAAAGGGACAAGTGTATTCTGGTGGTGAGTGAAGTATGCATCCAAACAATTACAGTAGAACAATTTATTCAGCATATTTCTAGCATATGATCTGTGTGGCGTCATGTAGGGAATCCAGCAAATTCCAAAAGTATTTGCCTGCATTGATTCTCTGAAGATTTGTAACAGTGGTTAATTCATTAGCCTTATTATGTTGGGCTCTGTCCATTATGTCAGGTGCATTTAATTACTTGACATTTCAGCAGTTGCCTTTGTCCCATCATTTGGTGATTGGTTCCAAGTATGCTGATGGGTGATTGTTATTATAGGCTTTTGCATGGACTGACTGATGAAACCCATGCAAAACCTCAACATAGCTGGCCTTGGGGTTGGTATTTGAACCTAGGACCTTCCAATAAACATGAAGTGCTGCCCATTTGACCATGACATTTGATACTTAGAAGGATATGTAAAGATAACTTTTAGATGGTGTTAGAGAAATACAGTCTGAGGATGGGAGGTGATTTGTACTGATTTCAGATGGTGTCCAGTGATGGGCTTGGATGTGGTTGGTATTGACCTTTATATAGTTCTGCTACCAGATACTTAATTCATTAGTTTTAGTTTGTTAGCTGACAGTATATGAAAATAAGGTTACATGGTTATTTGCTCTGATAATCATCTCTTGCTCTACATTTGTATGAGTCAGAAATAATCAGATCACTGCAGCAGTAATTGATTCTCATAAACATATCACACAGTGGACCAAGGAACTGCTGAATCTGTTCTACAACATAATTTATTTTTTAGATTCTCAGTGATTTTTAATTAAGGATTTTACTTTCAGCTGTAGGGAGACAAAAATATGATTTCAGAATACCCATAGACTGAGCACAAGTTTACATCATAGAAAGAATTGTTTGATATCCCTTGATTGCATTGTTAGTTTCATTATATTAACTGGAAATAGGAGAGATAAGATATTGAGCAAGCTCTGCATGCTTTCATTCATTCATTCATTCATTTATTTTTCGTTCCATGGATCCACAATACAAGTGAGATATAGGACATGTCCATACAGTGATTATTCTTAAAATGCATAAGATATATGTAATACTTCTATATAAGTAAAAAGTAAAATAATTGTAATACTGTATGTAAATGGATATTAATACACTCACTCTCACTTTAGTCATTGAACCTGAAGGTTAACATTACTAACACCAGAGCACATTATTGGACACGATACTGAGCCAGTTCAGTACCGTTTATATCCTCCCAATAAAGTTTTCTGATACGAATTCTGTCATCATCCTTCCATGAAGTCAGGTGTTCCTTGTTGCATATTCATGAGGTTTTCCTCTGTTGGACAACCTTCATAGAACTAGAATAGCAATATTATGTGTATACAGTGAAACCATTATTCAAAGTTTCTTTGGGGAACAGTGAATTTATACACTCAAGGTCATTTATCACTGAGGTTATTGACTTGGGATCACTGATGCTGAGCATTAACTGATGAGGAAGTGTTATCTGAGGAATGTTAAATTGGGGTTCCACTGTACATGGTTCTTAATTACAGGTTCATGTGATGTGTTCACTGAACTCATTGGTGCAAAGGGGAAAGATGTGTTGTATATTGGAGACCACATATTTGGCGACATTCTCAAATCAAAGAAGATTCGTGGATGGCGTACATTTCTGATTGTACCAGAGCTGGTACAGGAACTTCATGTGTGGACGGATAAGTGTCAACTGTTTGCTGAACTACAGGCTCTTGATATCATGCTAGGTGATATGTACAAGTGAGTAATACTGTATTTCTCCCCTTTGACAGCTACATACATTCCACTTGTTATTGAACCTAAATAGTTAAGTAACAGTAAAACTATCTCTGGGCTTAATTAATTAAGCACCATACCATAGAGATGTATGGGGAATAGAGGTATAGCTCCACAGTTTTTAACCTCGGTACTAGAAAGAGAAAAATCTCTTTCCCCTTCCATGAATCAAATCCCGATTCCTTGGTCATCCAGCCTCTAGCCTAGTTTATATAGGCTGAGCTACCACAGTTCCAGATAGTGAATGTAGTCAAGTCTGATTTTGGAAGGCAGATTAAACAAGTTCTGAAATGAAGACTGCTGTCCTCTGGGATGTTGTACTGAATAGTGTGGTAGTGTTTAAATTCCTATCAGAGTGCATGGTATAACATACCAGAAATAGTGCTCTTTATATTCACTACCATGAGAATCTCGAAACTCGCAATTTCGAGAAATGCGTGTATAAAATAATGATTGTTGTATTGCTCCATTTAATTAACTTCAAAATCATATTTGTGGCAAAAGTGATTTTAACATTAAATGTGTCTTATCATTGGTCCCTGCAATCCATGTTCAGAACACTCTGACCAGTGTCTAGCTAGTTACACTCAAAATGTTTGCAGTAAATCGTTTAGATCTTTGTCTGAAGAGTCCATTATTGTTACACAGTTTTAAAGACATAGGAATGCATTATCAATCAGGCTTTAGTAAAACTGCCCAATTTAAAATGTCATGAAAATTCTTTCACCAGTTCTCAAACTGTTACATGTGTTGAAAGCTCGACAGATAGAGTGAACTTGCTGCATGTAAGCAGACTGACATGATGAAGCTCATAGGCATGTTTTTGTAACATTCCTTTGTAAGTGCATCAAAAATATGTAGAATGTGTAATGTAACCTGTCCCTGTCTGACATATGTTCACAAAGCTCAGTGTATAAAATATGTTTTTTTTTCTGGCAGTATATACAAACAGAGATGCAATATTTGAAGAGTAAGGCCATGTAGCCTGGTATATAGTTATAAATATTATGGGAGATCTGTTGCCTTCATCTTGTTGAGAAGATTCCTCTTCTATTCTGAAGATGGAGACAGCCGGTTTCAAGGAATGTGAAGGAAGAATTCGACTCTCAGTGTACATTTAAAAGTGATCTGATCTTCATTTCTGACTTATACAAAAGCACAAATGTATGATTCAGAGTGTTGAGGTGTTCACTCAGATGTATAATCATGGAGACTCTCTGCAAGAAATTTAGATCATGTTTAGAATATATGGGGATAAGCACGATAATGAACAGATGGTATGTTCTCAGTATCTTGTCTTAATTAAATTTAAATGAATGCAATGTCAGTAGGAAATAATGAAAGCTCTTGGCACAGAGAATAGGTTACCGTTGAAATCATGATGGCAGTGAATGTGGTAATGTTTTTAAAACATAGTAAGTTTTCTTAATGGATAAACTGTATTTATTCACAGGAATTTGGATAGTAGTACAAAGGAAAAGCCAGATATCTCAAAATTGAGGAATTCAATTCGGGATGTAACTCACAAGATGGATCTGGCATATGGAATGATGGGAAGTTTATTCCGGAGTGGATCTCGGCAGACTTTCTTCTCATCTCAGGTTGTGCGGTACGCTGACTTGTATGCAGCCACTTTCCTCAACTTGATATACTATCCATTCAGTTACATGTTCCGTGCCCCTGCCATGTTGGTAAGTTTTCCTTACGAGCAACTAATTGCATGAAAGAATATCACTCGTATTCCTATTATTGAATTTTTGTAATACAGTTGCTTTTTAATAAAATATTTCCCTCTGGTTTGCCTGAGAGAGACCTTCATGCCAGTCAGTCCTTTGAAACTTTAAATTGTTGGTCCATAACCTGCCACTGTATCAAGTTAATGATCAACTGATCCACCAACCTTTGGACATCAGCGTGGAGACCCTTTGAAGGTGCTCAGCTTGAAATAATCTCAAAGCATGCTTCACACACACTTATTGAATTAAATGTCACATAGGGGAACCAGACGGAATTTTCTTTCAGGCGGCATGCTTTATTATAGTGCAAAATAGACATGTTGCTTATCGGTCACTAACACTTACTACTTTGAATCATACACAGAAATTCAGAAGATCTAGAACATGTATGTGAAGCAATAATTCATGAAAACAGATCTGAAGTTTGTCTAATTGCAGATGCCACATGAATCAACAGTGGCTCATGAGCAGAGGTTTGTGATGGAAAGTCCCATGATTTCTCGTTCACGCGCATTCTCAGTCACTGATGATGATTCATCTGAAAATTGTGCTAATCATCACCATGTAAGTATTCACATTGTCTGCATTTGACTGTATTATAGCATGTTAGAAATGCAGAACCTGGAAAGAAGGGTGTGTTTATGTTACAGAATACAAATATTTTCTACATGCATTCTTTGTGACCATGTATTCCTCATTAGTCTTGATGTTTGTTTATTTACTGGGGATCAGATTATCTTGTTGACAGGAGCTAATAAACAGTATGGTACTATGCTGCAATTAACAAGCTTAATCAGGAGTAGAGATATATTTTGAGTAAAAAATGCATAAAACTTTACACATGAAAGTTCATGGAGCTTGCCAGTATCCAAATTTTGAACTTTCTCAGAAATTTGCACTTGAAATTTTCAGTTGCTGGAACGGTCTCATAGCCAAGTACCACACACGCGACCAGAGACACCACGATGTGTGACTCATAATCATGATGAAGATTATTCAGACGAAGAAACTGACAGCAAGTCCTCAGAGGAGAAGGCAGGATGAATAGACAGGATACAGTCTGGAGGTAACAGATTCACCATTATCAAGTGATGTAAGTGAAACCCTATGACCAAAGACATGGATGAAGGCATAATATTCATACCTGTAGCTGACATACTTGATGGGAATTTTAAAGAATGCTTTATACATTTTTTCAATGAATATTAAAGTACAATGTGGGATATTTTTTATTTTCCCATGGTTGCTAAAGGTGATGAAAGCTGGGTGTTGTGCACAGTGTTATAGATTCTGGATAACTGGCTATGAAAATAATGGTACTACTTACCCTTCAAATTGTCCACAGTTTTATTCTGCACAGGTTTATCCCAAATTCTTGAATGTGTTCTTGAATCATCATAAATAGAATTCCCTTTGTAAAGAGGGGTTCATATTTGCACAATTAGAATAAAATTATGATGAAAAGATGATATTGTGTGTAGTGCATTCAGTGCTTCTAAGGTAGCTTTTGATAGCATACTGTTCCAAAGAATTGGGGGAGGAATTATTTTGTTAGCAGGAATATTTGTGGGTGAGTTCCCCAGAAAATTTGTTGGTGCTTAAGAAGTTGATACTAGAGAATACGTGCTGTTCTGTGCTTTCACGTAGAAACTGTTAAGTAGAAGTTGAACAGAAGACATTTTTTTTCATGCCCTTAAAAACTGTATGACGCTTTCAAAAATTTGGTGGCATCCGTACCCAGAAGGAGAGTTACACGATCCTTCAGATCTTTGAATTGAGGAAACTTGAAGGTATATTTTTTCAGGAAAGACATGTCTCATCAGCACTGAAAACATGAAGAGAGCAGTAATGCCCCAGTAATTTTGACAGAGCTTCAGGAAATGCTGCTTGTTTGTGGCAAGCACTTGCTGATTTGCCAGATGATAGGTTTTTCATATTCATCCTCTGCTTGAATCTTGCAAACCATCCAGCACTAGTCACCAGCTGTTTCACCCATATGCATTTTAATATCCAGAGAAAGATTACCCTAGCCATAGCTTATCAGAACTTAGTCCTTGCTTAATTTTTGCTGATTCTGAATCCAAATTGTTAAATACCATTCCATTTCTTCAATGGGGCCACTTCGTTTTTATTAATAATCTTGGATTGAAGGGAGCCTGCATTGCAAACACAATACTTTTGTTTGTGTTGTGAGATGGTTCCAAATGTTGAGTGATTGACTTCACAAATATAATCCATGGAAATAAGAGGCTCACTTCTTTCTGATCATTTCATTATATTCATATTAGTTTCCATCAATAGCACTAGACATTTTGCACTACTTTTAAATGTAGAACCCAAACAGTCATTATTTTATGCTTGTTTCCTAAGAGTAATAAACAAAAGAAAGGCATATCACTGTCAGGTTATGCCAGTACAGTTTCAGATGCCCAGAACAACTGGAAGATCATATCATAAGTCATGGGCAGGAGATGGAAATACTGTTTGTTCCAGCAGGTGTATATATTTCAAGAGTGGGTGCTGTGTCCATTTTCAGAATAGGGAGTGACATTTCTTTAGTATGTGCAATATTTGTAACTGAATTGTTTATAGCATGAAGATTTGTAAGTTGAGGCATGCCTATAATGAAAAGCTTTCAAGCTTAATTTTGATTCTTTTTCTCCCTTGTATAAGTGTTATCAGATCACAGTTGTCATACCTGTTAATACATCATTGAATGGATTTGATGATTACAAGCATCTACTCCAGTGTATGTAATTTTTATGTTCACGATGTGTTGTGGAAAGTGTAGTCTGAACTCATTTGCAGGGTTACAAGATTATAATATATTTGTAGGAGCTGTGTGTTGTCAAGCACAGGCTGAAAAAAAGCTCAAATCATAACCATTTGAACTCTTCCTGGTCATAGTTACTAATAACAGAAATGTTAAAAAATATTGTTAAATGACCAGTTACATTATCATTCTGATTGTATGTTGTAAAGGCATGTTTTAGTAGTGATTTTAATATAATAAATGTTTTGTACTTGTTATAAAAATGCAGTGAAAGTATTTCATATTTATGTAGGTAAATTTTATCACAACTTTGTAGATAAGGTAGTTCCTCAGTGTTATCTAACTCCATAATAATGTGCCATTGTTTTGTATTTTATGTCTTCATTAAGTCTTTCTAAATATGTTTAGGATACAATAACCGGACAGTGAATTACAAGACAGTTGGTAATTCAAAACATGTTATTAAAATTTAAATTGCTTAATATGGATAATGAACAGAAAACATAGTAAAGGATTATGGATACAGAGGTACATATTTCTTTCTGAGCAGTACCCTTAAGTACACTTTCCTCTTATAAAACAAGCTCCATAATTAATTTTCTAGGCTCAGGTATAGTGGCCTGTTTGTTCTTCTTCTGCAGGCACTACAGTCTATGATTTCTTGACATTGCAACACTGTGACTTTTTTCTCCATTTAGGTGTTTCTGTTCGGCTGCAGTTAGTAAAAGCTTCACAGCAATTAAAGTGGCCTGTTTACTTGAATAAATGAATGTATAAGGGGTGGGCTTTCTTGGCCCTTGCACCACGACCACAGTGATCTGTTGTGCCTACTTACTTAACTTATGGAGCTGAGCCCTTCTTGAGGAGAAGCCAAATCTGCAGCTACTCAAGAATTTCCCAGCATTTTATGGAACCCGAAAGTTCATTACCATGTTCACAAGAGTCATCCACTGGTCCCTATCCTGAGCCAGATCAATCCAATCCACACCATCCCATCCTATCTAAGATCCATTTTAATATTGTCCATCCACCTACGTCTTGGTCTTCCTAGTGGTCACTTTCCTTCTGGCTTTCCCACCAATATCCTATATGCATTCCTTTTTTTCCGCATTCGTGCTACATGCCCTGCCCACCTCATCCTCCTCGTCTTGATCATTCTAATTATACTTGGAGAAGAGTACAAGTTATGAAGCTCCTCATTATGCAGTTTTCTCCAGCCTCCTGTCACTTCATCCCTCTTCGGTCCAAATATTCTCCTCGACACCCCAGTCTATGTACCTCCCTTAATGTTAGAGACCAAGTTTCACACCCATACAGAACCACAGGCAAAATTACAGTTTTGTATATTATAATTTTTATGTTTTTGGACAGCAGACAGGAAGACAAAATGTTCTGGACTGAATGGTAGCAAGGATTACCCGAGTTTGATCTCCTCTTAATTTTCTCCTCAGTCGGGTTTTGATTTGTTGTTGTTCCCAAATATCTGAACTGTGCCACATCTTCAAAACATGTGTCCTATCTTTATGTCATGATTTTGCCCTGGATTTTGGTGATGAGACAGCAACATATACTTTTCTCTGTGTTTACTTCTAGACCAACCTCTTTACTTGCATCAGTTAAAGTTTGTGTGTTTTTCTTTATGGTATCTATGTTATCTCCTAGTAGATTCACATGATTGGCATAGACCACCAGCTGATGTGTCCCATTTAATTACAGTCCCACATGGTTTCCCTGGACCTTCCTAATGGCATATTCTGAAGCAAAGTTGAAAAGGAGTGGTGACAAAGCATGTCCCTGTCTTAGAAAATTCTAGATAGGAAGTTTATCAGACAAATGTTTACCTATACGGACTTTACTATACGTTTCGTTTAAACACATTTTAATCAGCTTAACTAGTTTCATGGGTATCCCAAACTCTATCAGAATATTGTACAATACTTCCCTCCTAACTGAATCATAAGGCTTTCTTGAAGTCTACAAATTGCTGAAGTACTGTCTCATTGTACTCCCATTTTTTCTCCAATATCTGATGAATGCAAAAGATCTGATCTGTAGTTGATCTGTTACGTCGAAACCCACACTGATGATCCCCTATAATTTCATCTATGTATGGACATAACCTTGAGAAAAGAATATTGGATAAAATGTTGTATGACGATAGCAGTGATATCCCCCGATAATTACTACAGTCAGTTTTATCACTCTTCTTATGAAATAGTACAATAATAGACTCCTTCCACTGCTCAGGCAATTTTTCCTTATGCCAAATAGAAGTAATTAGCGTATGGATCTTAGAACATAATATTTTGCCTCCTGCTTGAACAAGTTCTGCTGGAATTTGATCACTAGATGGCAATTTATACCTTTTCAATTTTGCAATAGCGCTTTCAACCTCAAAAGGCCTGGGATTAGGTATTAACGACTCAGCTGTATGCATTTCTATCTGCCTAACATCACTGACCCTATGTAAATTCAGTAACAGAGAGAAGTTCTTCCATCTATTCAAAATGTTATGGGAATCTGCAAGTAGATCACCATTCTCATCCTTCTCTAAGTCACTTCTAGGTTGGTAAGCCTTCTTAAAGTCATTTTCCTCTACACAGGTGTCTAATGTTCTTTTCTTACTGTTCATTGCAAGCTCGTCAATTTTGTCTTTCAGATATTCCCTCTTTTTATTCCTGAAATGCCTGCTGGTTTCACATCTTATATTGTTCACATTATCCCTATTTATTTCGCTTGGATCCTGTAACCATTGCAATTTGGCTTGTTTTCTTTGGTCTTGTAATTTTGAGCACCCTTCATCGAACCATGGCTTATGCTTCTTTGGTTCATAATAACCTAGACTCTCCTTGGCAGAAATTTTGATATTCTCTCTATTAGTTTCCCAAGCTTTATTAACATTCACCTCAGTGTCCAAGTTTTCCAAGGCCACGAACCTGTTTAAGAGTTCAACATGATACTGCTCTTTACCCTCTACCTCATTTAGTTTCTTGAGATTGAACCTCTCCCCATATGAACTCTGTGCGTTGTTTCTTTGCTCACTGCCAGTCTCTCCCTAACGCTTGCCCCCACCAGGTGGTGGTCAGTGTCACAACCTGCTGCCCTGAATGATCTGACATCAAGTATACTTGAATGCTGTCTCCAATCTATCAAAATATGGTCGATCTGATTGTGTATCTTCCCATCAGGAGATGTCCAAGTAAATTTATGGATGTTACGATGCAGGAACATTGTACTTTTGACAGTAAGATTTTTCGATGTGGCAATGTTTACTACTATAACTCCATTATCATTACTAATTTCATGCAAACTCTTATTCCCAATCGTTGGTCCGAAAATGTCTTCCCTCCCTACTTTGGCATTGAAATCTCCTAACAAAATTTTCATAAGGTACTTCAGGAATTTATCAAATACATGTTCTAGTTCTTCATAGAACCTCTCCTTTATGTCATAAATTTTATCTTCTTTTGGGGCGTGAATATTCACCATGATATCACACCAGCGACCTTTTAGTATTATATATGATATCCTATCACTAACGAACTCTACTCTCTTAACTGCCAGTACGATTCTCTTGTGTACAAAAAAACCTGTACCTAATTCATGATTTTCATTCTCCTTTCCATAGAGAAATGTATATTCGCCTGCTGGTGCATCCCATCTGACCTCCTGTACTCCCATTAAATCTAACATATATTTTAAGATTTCTTCTGCCACTGCCCTGAGCGAGCCTGCCCTATACATACTTCTAACATTCTGTGTACAAGTGGCTTGTTTAGTTTGTATTAATATCTCCTTAAGTTAGTTCACTGCTTTTTCTCTTAACATTTGCATTCCCCTGCTCTTTGTGATCTAAAATTTTCTGTCAGATAGGATTCTCCTCCATCCTTTTCCCTTCTTTCTATTGTCATTTCTGTATTCAGAAGTTCTGTTATAATATTTATAATTTGTAATGCCAACATAATGTCTTTGTTCAATATTTCATCTTAGAATGTGACTAATTTGCTAATCTCAGAAAATGCATTTTAGCAGTTTCAGACCTTCTCCTATTCATTCCTGGTTGTTGTCAAAACCTCTAATCCATACTAAAAAGATCTTCTTGCCAGTGTCTTACATCAAGTAGATTGTTCCGTGTTCATGTTACTCTTGAATCATTGTGCTTTTCCTCTACAACATTTATGTTGCATGTCTAGAAATATTTTGTCATTGAGACCTGTTAGAAGTATGTGACAGACAGTTCAAGTGTCATAAATTACAGATGTGAGGAAAAGTGTGGAGGACTATATGTATGAAGCCCCTGTTACTATATAGGAAGGTGCCCAGTAGGACCATGGCACTCAGACCAGAGACAGAGAGGACTGACCTACAGTAAAATTTTAGGCAAATGTCTATCAGACTGATTTGTGTCAGGCTATTTTTATTAATCCAGTTGTGTTCAGGAATCTTGTTGTAAATAATTAAAATTATTTACTGTTTTTCTATTACTGTCAGTTTAGGCGCACACACACACACACACACACCAGAGTTCTAGATTTATTGAGTGCCTTTAGCATAAACTGCATTAATACTTTTGAACTGAAACTGAGCTGTGTCATTTCCTTGGAAAAGGTGTTGGTAACATCTTGATATAAAGATGGTATTAAATCGCTGTGATTACACTACTTACTTGCTGTGTTGAGGCTGCAGAATTAAGTTCCATGTATAGCAGAGATGATGGTGCTTGAGTATTCTATGTATCTGCATTCTTTTATAAATTTCTCTCCATTCCCCTTTAGCCTGTCAGCCAGCCCGAAGCGCTTGTTGGTAGCACATATTATCACTACAAACATTCATTTGGATAGAATGGCTAGCCATTCTGAGGGGAATTACAGAGGAACATGTTGAAGAGGGACGTGAAATAGCCAAGGGAGATGTGAAGGGCTTTGATTCTGAGCACTTCTTCCTGTGGCTCAAGTATACCTTGTACTAGTGATTACCCCTTATCAGTCATTTGTCACCATGTACTGAAGACATCTGTCATATTAAGACAGCCTGTACCTGCAGTGGATCTCAGAACTTGGACTTTGATTAGAACACTAGAGGCCATCTCTTCCATCTTCAACATGATGATGTGCTTTGTCAACAGGCAAGGTTCCCACTTAACATGGAATTAATACTAACTTGAAGTGTCAGTGGCCTCCGTAGTCTAGAGGTAACATTCCCACCTCATGACTGGTAGTACACGGGTTCAAATACCTGGCGAAGGTCGTCGAATTTTTAAGGGCGGAAAAATTCAGGGAACAAGTCCTCCAGGAGGGACTTTAAGCCGTGGGTCCTGTGTCGTAGCTTTACGGCATGTAAAAGAACCTCATACCTCCAAAGGAGGTCACTGAGCCAAAATTGCGGACATTTCCCGCCCAACAGTAGTCACTAATACCTCTGGTAGATGGGGGAAGCATTATAGATACCTCTCAGCTAGTAGAGCGGGTCTCGCTGGCTGGGCGGGACTGGTGGTAAGCACCAATACCGGTAGGATATAGAGACTGGTAGAA